ACTGGCACAAAAACAGACACATAGATCAATGGAACAGAATAGAACCCAGGAATGGACCCTCAACTCTACGGTCAACTAATCTTCAACAAAGCAGGAAAGAATGTCCGATGGAAAAAAGATGGTCTCTTCAACAAATGGTGTTGGGAAAATTGGACAGCCACATGCAGAAGAAGGAAACTGGACCATTTCCTTACACCACACATACACAAATAGACCCAAAATGGATAACAGACCTCAATGTGAAAGAGGAATCCATCAAAATCCTTGAGAACACAAGCAGCAACCTATTTGACCTCAGCCGCAGCAACTTTTTCCTAGAAATATTGCCAAAAGCAAGGGAAGCAAGGGCAAAAATGAACGATTGGGACTTCATCAAGAGCTTTTGCACAGCAAAGGAAACAGTCAACAAACGCAAAAGACAACTGACAGAATGGGAGAAGGTATTCATGTATGACATCAGATAAAGGAATAGTATCCAAAATATATAAAGAACCTATCAAACTCCACACCCAAAGAACAAATAATCCAATCAAGAAATGGGCAGAAGATAGGAACAGACATTTCTGCAAAGGAGACATCCAAATGGCCAACAGACACATGAAAAAGTGCTCAATATCACTGGGCATCAGGGAAATACAAATCAAAACCACATTAAGATACCACCTCACTCCAGTCAGAATAGCTAAAATTAACCAGTCAGGAAATGACAGATATTGGCATGGATGCAGAGAAAGGGGAACCCTCCTATACTGTTGGTTGGAATGCAAGCTGGTGCAGCCACTCTGGAAAAAAGTATGGAGGTTTCTCAAAAAGTTGAAAATAGAGCTACCCTACGACCCAGCATTCACACTACTGGGTATTTACCCTAAAGATACAAAGCTAAAGATCACTCCTAGTGATCTGAAGGGGCACATGCACCTGAATGTTTATAGCAGCAATGTACACAATAGCCAACTATGGAAAGAACCATCCATCAACAGATGAATGGATAAAGAAGATGTTGTATATATATACAAGGGAATACTATGTAGCCATCAAAAGAAATGAAATCTTGGGGTGCCTGGGTGGCTCAATGAGTTAAAGCCTCTGCCTTTAGCTCAGGTCATGATCCCAGGGTCCTGGGATCAAGCCCCGCATGGGGCTTTCTGCTCATCAGGGAGCCTGCTTCCCTTCCTCTCTCTGCCTACTGGTGATCTATCAAATAAATAAAATCTTTAAAAAAAAAGAAAAGAAATGAAATCTTGCCATTTGCAACAACATGGATGGAACTAGAGGGTATTATGCTGAGTGAAATAAGTCAATCAGAGAAAGACAATTATCATATAATATCTCTGATATAAGGAATTTGAGAGGCAGTGCAGGGGGTCATGGGGAATAGGGAGGGAAAAAAATGAAACAAGATGGGATCAGGAGGGAGATAAACCATAAGAGACTCTTAATCTCATGAAACAAACTGAGGGTTGCTGGGGGTGGAGGGGTAGGGATAGGGTGGTTGGGGTATGGACATTGTGGAGGGTAGGTGCTATGGTGAGTGCTGTGAAATGTGTAAGCCTGATGATTCACACACCTGTACCCCTAGGGAAAATAATACATTATATGTTAAAAAAAGAAAGAAAGAAAGAAAGAAACATACAGGCCATTTGAGAACTCACATCATTTGATGCACTGAAATCCCTGACCTTGCAGGAATTCTATCTTTATCCTATAACCTCTGGAACTCCTGCCTACAGGTTCATTCCCACCATCTCCACTCTACGCTCCAGAACCAAGCATCCAAGGCCAAGGCATGATGACCAGGAGCCCTGGTCTGAGGCTGACTGATTCAGTGTGGAGCAGGCCTGGAAGCTTTCTCTTTTTTCATTTTATACTCCATGTTTTCTTGTGACCTAGTCCTTGTCTGATGAAGGCACAGCTCTTCAGCCCCAGCTCTGCCATAATCCCTTGTAAATCAAGCTTCTGATTCACCTTGGTGTGTTCCTCCTGATATTTTTTGTGCCCGGATTTTGGCGGATTGCTTGCCTGTTGATCCCCTACCAACCAACCACTGCTCCTGACTCAGCGAGGGTAGACTCTCAGTCCTCACCTGGACCTGCACCTCTTTGTGAGGATGAGTAAAGGGGGAGCATGGCCTTCAACAAAGTTAGTCCTCAGAGGACAATTTGGATGTTCCTTGTAGCTTATTAATTCTGCCTGTAAGTTAACTGATTACCGATCTCATTTGGGTGAATTGGCAGACACACCGCCATACATCTGTCCATCTCTCCACTAACTACCCCTTTGTGTTTGTCTTAGAATCCCAGTCTTTACCTTGCCTAATCTGACCCACCTTCCCAAACCCCTAACCCTGATCCTGACAGGTCCGGGGGCTTCCCAGAAGAGCCCATTTCACCACAGGTTAAAGTACTTAACTCAAGTACCGGTTGTGCGGCTTTATGTTCCAGGATTCTGACCACGGGGATCTGGTTGCAGGCTCAGCCAAAGCAGGGTACATTTTAAAAATAAGCAAACTCTGTCATTGAATCTTTTTGATCATCCTCTTAGCATCTCGATCTCACCTCTAAGTGCCTCGCTCCAAAGAGCTGGAGCCCCAGGACACCCCCATGCCCGGCTCCCCGGGCCTGCCCAATTCAAGTTGCCCATCCTTGTTACCACCTCTCACACCTCCACCCCAGCCCCCCATTCCTCCAGTGCACAGGATCCCTGCCCAGTTGCATGAGGGCATTGGTCTGCCTTTGGAGCCTCTCCACCTTCTCAAGGGTCTGCTGTGTGCTATTGTGGGGCTAGTCATGACAGACACAGCATTAACATGATGGTATCTGCCTGCCAGGAGCTCCCAGCAAACAGTGGGTGTGTTCCACTCAGCAGGACTGCTTCGACTTCCCGTGTGCTGCATCTGGCCAGTTTTGCAGGAGGTAAAGTAGCCTTGACCTTCTCTGAAGACAGCTGGTTCTGCTGGCCTTCTTTGCACAGCTTTTTTCCTCCTAAAGGCACAGATTTTCTAAGAGTTCAAAGTTCTTTCCCTGCTGTTGAGTGACAGATGGCCCCGGCCAGAAGGCCTTGTATATGATTAAGTTGTTCATTGGTTAGTTGCTTGTAAGGATGAGCCTGCTTATGGAGCAAACCAAAAATGCCATTCAACTAGCCTAGAGAATAGAACACCATTCTAGAGATGTCTTACTTCAGAAACAAGAAAAAACCTAAAAACAAAAAGAAAACCAAAGCTGGACTAGTCTTGAAACAATCTTTCTTTTTTTAAATATTTTATTTATTTATTTGTCAGAGAGAGCACAAGCAGGGGGAGCAGCCCACAGAGCAGACAGAAGCAGGCTTCCTGCTGAGCAAGGAGCCCAATTCAGGACTCGATCCCAGGACTCTGGGATCATGATCTGAGCCGAAGGCAGCCACCCAACTGACTGAACCACCCGGGCGTCCCTCTTTTTTTTTTTTTTTTTTTTTAAGATTTTATTTATTTGAGAGAGAGAGAGAGAACAAGCACTGGGGAGGGCCAGAGGGAGAGGGAGACAGAAGCAGACTCCCCGCTGAGCAGAGAGCTCAACCGTTGGACCCAGATCACAACTTGAGTGGAAGGCAGACGCTTAACCACTGAGCCACCCAGGTGCCCAGAAACAATATGTCCTTTTCCTTACTAAGTGGCAACTACTCTCATGCAAGCACTTGAGAGGTACGTGCATTTGTGGATTGTAACAGGGACAAGGTTTGGACCCAGCGCTTCTCAACAACTGTAAAAAGGCTTCTATGAGGTGCCTGGGGACATTTGAACACTGTCTAGATAATTGTCCTTATTTTTTAGATACACATAATGACGTTATTTATGGATAGAATAGGATGTATGCAATTCATTCAAAAATAATCCAGTGTGGGAGGGGGTGGTATATCTGAGAATGATGGGGGTATATCGGAGACAAGATTGGTATATGATGAGGGCCACCAGTTAAATGTCTAACTTGGCTCATGTCATGATCTCGGGGCTCTGGGACTGAGTCCCACATGAGGCTCCCCGCTCAGTGGCGAGTCTGCTTCTCCCTATTCCTCCCCTTGCTTGTGCTCTCTCTAATAAATAAAATCTTTAAAAAAAAAAAAAAGATTTGCCATATGTTGATAATTATTGAAGCTGGGTTATAAATATATGAAAATTCATTATCCTCTTTTTTTGTGACCTACTTTTGTGTTTGCTTGAAAATTTTTATTATGAAAAAAGTGAAGTAGAAGACCAGTGCTTTTTAAATTTCCACGTGTGTACCTCAGAACGCAAAGGAAAGCAACAGTACTCATGCCCTAGGAGAGAGAATTTGGAGGATATGGTGCAAAGGACCTCCAATACAATAAAGATATTTGAGTTTCCTGTTTTACTTCAAACATTCAGATGGATTTTATAGTTGGCTAAATTGACATTTATTTTAAATGAGAAAGTTGTAAATTACTTGGACAGGAGAGAAAACAAGTGTTGCGCAAGCTGACAAAGAGTTCCTCTCAGCCAGAGAGATCTGTCTTATCCTGGCATGCCCCTTCTTGGCACAGTATGGTTAAAAAGACAAGGCTCTTCTAGGGTAGCTGCATGGCCCCACGGGGACAGAGACATAGGAAAACTACTCTCCCAGAAAACTGGGCAGTAGGTTTGGGGCTTGGGAGCTTTTGAATTAAAGAGGAAAAAGAGAAGCACCTGGGTGGCTCAATCGGGTAAGCATCCAACTCTTGATTTGGGCTCAGGTCATAATCTCAGGGTTGTGAGATCGAGCCCCACGTCGGGCTCTCAGCAGGGTGTGGAGCCTGCTTATGATTCTCTCTCTCCCTCTGCCCATCCGCACCAGTGCACTCTCTTAAATAAATAAAGCTTTAAAAATAAAGAGGAAAAAGAGGATCAAGGAAGAAGAGAGGAAACCCCGAATCACAGAAGGACAAGCAAAAGTGATGAGATGTTCCACCGTCTTGAAAACAGGCCAATATGCATTTAAAGATAAGGCATTCTGCTGGAGAGGAAACATGGCCACAGCCGTGGGGGGCTCACACGTGGGTGCAGGGAAAAAGCTGAAAAATTCGCTGAAGAAGAAGAAGATGAAAATGGTAGCTAGGGCAGTAGCTTCGGAGTTGGAAGATGAGGGCAAAGACGCTACTGACAGTGGAGGTTCTGTAGGAAGTTGTGAATCAGAAAAGGATCACTTTTCTTCAGATGATGAATCAGTGGGAGCTGACAATGAAGATGAAGTTGAACCCTGTGGCAATGGAAATGAACATACAGCCGAAGTTAGAGTTGGAATTAACGTGGGCTGGGCGGATGCCATGGCTAAAATTCTTAAAAAGAAAACTCCTAAAAGTAAGTCTACTATTCTGGTCAAAAACAGAGAGCTGGAAAAGGAAAAAGAAAAGTTAAAGCAAGAGAGACTAGAGAAGAGAAAACAGCTTGGTAAGAAGCGGGAATGGGAAATGTGCAGAGTAAAGCCAGATGTTGTCAAAGACAAAGAAACAGAGAGAAATCTTCAGAGAATTGCAACAAGGGGTGTGGTACAGTTATTTAACGCCATGCAGAAGCACCAAAAGAACGTTGATGAAAAGGTTAAAGAAGCTGGAAGTTCTATTAGAAAACGTGCTAAGTTGATATCAACTGTTTCCAAGAAAGATTTCATCAGTGTTCTGAGAGGGATGGATACAAGTACAAATGAGAAAAGTTCGACTGGAAAGAACTTGAAAGCCAAACAGACTGAAGTGAAATCAGAAGAGGGCCCTGGATGGACAATCTTACATGATGATTTCATGATGGGAGCATCCATGAAAGACTGGGACAAAAAGAGTGATGACGCGGATAACCAGTGAGCCAGGGTCTGGGAGCGACTTGGATACATAAGGCCGTAGAGGAAACACAGCATACAGTCATTGTATTTTTCCTAGCGAAATGCTCTGTGCTCTCAGAGTTATGTGGCTGTGAAGCTATCATTTGTAAGAAAGCCCAAAGACTTTTACTATTACCAACTTGGGTGTTTTCTCTTTTCGTGAAAACTTCGTTAAATTAAGTTTTTCAAACCTTGTATGATTTTAAGCATTGTTTCTCAAACATGTAAAAAGGAGTATTTCTGCTTAACTAGCGAGATGCACATTTTGCCCAGATCATTATAAGTTTACGTATTGGTCATGGATATTGGTATTTTGTTCCGGTATCAGCAGTTTCTAGAAATGCAGTGCTTTTCATAATTAAAATGAACTCCCTGAAGTTAAAAAAAAAAAAAAAAAAGATAAGGCATTCTAATATTCAGCATTAAGTAGTTGTCTATACAACCCCTCCTTTGCTCCAAACTATTAAAAAAGACTTCTCTGGCCATTGCCTTGAGTCATAATAATATTTGGGAGAATGAAGGGGTTGGAAAGAAAATATCTAGCTGGGTCCCATGGTATATAAAATAGGGGACGGCTGTGGGAGGTAAAATGCAAAGTGGGGATCAAGAAAAGTCAGTAGAAATTTGGAGATGGATATTTCTAGCAACAAGAGCATTCCTTTACAACATATGATGGACTCAGCATCTCTGGAAATCTTTGCAAGGATGTTGCTTTCCCATCAGGTATTTCAGTAGAAGTGAGCCCAATTCTACTTCAGCACTAACAACTTTATTAAAATAAGATGATCTCAGAAAAACTGGGTGACTGAAGGACATCCGCACAGCCAGCACTGGGGTTACAATTACCACCTGGCAAGGGGAGGGGATCTGCACCCTGTCATTGGTTAATGGGCAAGATGCTGATGCAGGAAAGTTATTCATTTCGGAAATTCAGGAAAAACTGAGGATGTTCAACATGCAAGTAATTTTCCTTGATGCCATAATATGTTTTAAAGGCCAGACTCACAGAAATATATTAAATAGATTATTACAGATAAGAGGCATTTAGTCTTTGCTAGGGAAATGCTCAGAGTATCACTAAGGAAGTCATCCCGTCCCATACTTTCAGACTACTCTTGAGGTCTGTCTTAGAAAATGCATTTTTAGGGGTGCCTGGGTGGCTCAGTGGGTTAAGCCTCTGACTTTGGCTCAGGTCATCATCCTAGGGTCCTGGGATCAAGCCCCGCATTGGGCTCTCTGCTCAGCAGGGAGCCTGTTTCCTCTACTCTCTCTGCCTGCCTCTCTGCCTACTTGTGATCTCTGTCTGTCAAAAAAAAAGTGCATTTAAAAAAAAAAGAGTATTTATTTATTTATTTGACAAAGAGAGAGAGATCACGAGTAGCAGAGAGGCAGGCAGAGAGAGGGGGAAGCAGTTTCCTGCTGAGCAGAGAGCCCAGTACGGGGCTCCATCCCAGGACCCTGAGACCATGACCTGAGCCAAAGGCAGACGCTTTACCCACTGGGCCATCCAGGCACCCCTTAGAAAAATGCATTTTTGGGATGCCTGAGTGGTTCAGTTGGGTAAGTGTCTGCCTTGGGCTCAGGTCATGAATCCGTGGGTCCTGGGATCGAGCCCCATATCGAGCTCCCTGCTCTGAAAGGAGTCTGCTTCTCCCTCACACCTCTGCTGCTCACCCTACTTGTGCTCTTTCTCAAATAAATAAAATCTTAAAAAATGGAAAAAGAAAGAAAATGGCGTTTTCTTACCGATAGATCAAATAATCTATTATTATTCATTTCCATCACTATTACAACAAATTACCACAAATTTAATGACTTCACACCAATTTATTATCTGGTGGTTCGTAAGTTTAAAAGAGGTCTCCCTGGGCTGAAATCAAAGTATCCACACACAGAGCTGTTTACCTGCTGAAGGCTCTGGAGAGAGTCCCTTGCCTTGCCCTTTCCACCTTGGACAGACTGCTGCATTCCTTGGCTCACCGGCCCCCAGCCTTCTGTGAAGCCAACAACCAGCAAGCCCTTCTCCCATCACACCATTCTGATGCAGATTCTTCTGTCTTCCTCTTCCGTATAAAGACCTGGTAATTACACTCGGCCCACCTGGATAACCCAGGATAATCATAGTTTGAAGTCAGCTGATTAGCAAACTTAATTACCTTTTCTCATCTGATGGTAACAACAGGTTCCAGGGATCAGAACAGAGATGTCTTTGGGAAGGCATACACCTTCCTCATACACCTCATACACCTATGTTTCATGACAGACCCAAAGAGTTCCTGAATCCCTGGTTGGACTCTTTCATGTCTCTAGGAACAACTAACTGATCAATGAATTTTCTCCACAAGGAAAGACTGCTGACATTATTTTTTTAACTACTGTTTTCATAATTTCAATGGATACACATACTCTACAAATCTCATAACTCAATCCCAACAAGCAACCATGTTCATCCAGCTCTGAAAATTCATTGTTAGTGTAGCAAATTTCACATAGAGTAAAATAAGTCAATTTTGTTTTTTGGTTATTGTTTGCGATGATGCAACTGTAAACATACCTACAAAAGAAGTCCAACTTGCGAACCATTATTTTTGTTGTGTGTGTTAATAACCCTCAGCACTGTTCAGGGTTTTGTTGTAAGAAATAGAATCCATTCTAATGGCTGAAACAAAAAGAATGTATTACAGGGTATTAAATGACTTTAAAATAATTGGAAAACTGAAGAAACAGAAAGAAATTTCAGGAAGAACTTTGAGGATCACATCTCAGAATTGGGCCATCAGATGAGCTATTTCTTCTTCCTTTCTGTCCCTAAGAAGAAGAATCAAGAAAAGGAAGAGAAAAAGCAAGGGTATTGGTATAATGATAATAGTGGAAATTATAAAGTCAAAAGTTGTATTTGATCTCAAGGGGTAAGAGCAAGAAAGATAGGAACACTTTATCTAACACCTTTATTTATCTATTTATATATTCATGTGTTCATTTTTTACCGACTTGCCTACCTACCTACCTATCTACTTATCTATTTACAAAAGTGGTAATCTTGTGTTTACTTCTTTATACTCAGGGCAAAGTTCAAACAATACATAACTACATAAAGTAGCTTCTTGTCAATTAAACTCACACTTAAGAAATAACCTCTCACATTATTTTTAGGAATCCTTTAGACTTCTTTGAATGTATTTAAGCACACATATATAAACATAGTGGCTTAATTTACATTAAAAAAATAAGTGCTACACATTCTGTTCTGTAATCTCCTTTTTGCACTTAACAATAGACCACGGATGTTTTTCCATGACAATACATATATTTGATCCCTATCGAAAATCTCATAGTATTTTATTGTAATCAATATAATTGATCTTAACATTCCCAGTTGACAGCCATTAGAGTTATTTCCAAATTTCCTCAATTGTAAACTATGTCATAATGAACTTTTAAAAATACTTATACATCTTTGCACACTTATCCTATTATTTTCTTGGAATAAATTCCTTAAAATTCAATTTCCAGATTAAATAGGAACATTGAGTTGTAATGAGAGCTCTCCATAAATGTTATACCAATGTATATACCTATTAACACCAAGCCAACCTTGAGTTACATCAGCCTTGTAAATCTTTACCAGTTTTATTACTATTCTGAAGATTGATCTATGGCAGTTTCGTGACATTTTTTGCTGGTTTTGGTTTCGGGGCTTTATAACTTTGTAAAATAATTAAGACACTTTCTTTCCCTCCTTTCCCTATTGTTTGAAACAGCTGAAATAAGAAATTATCTGCTTCTTGAAAGACTGGTAAAATTCATCTGGTAAACCATCAGACTGGTACTCTTTTGAGGAATGGAGGTGAGGAGGTGTTCAATAAACTTTTCTATTAATTTCTGGTAAAATGGCCTTTTTGGATTTTCAATTTTTCTGTTAAATTCTTCATTTTATCTAAATATTCAGAATTTTTTTCTTTAAGTAGGCTCCATGCCCAGTGTGGGGCTTGAACTCACTACCCCAAGATCAAGAGTCATATGCTCTATTGACTGAATCAGCCAGGTGCCCCTCAAAATGTCCAGATTAACTGGTATAAAACTGCATGTATTCTTATGAAAAATTTGTTGTGCCTCTAGTTGTCTCCCTTTTATACTTCTAGTGTTTTATATTTGTGGTTTCACTTATTTCCATAATCAGACTTGCAAGAAGTTTCTGTTTCATTGACCTTCAAAGTAATAACTCTTGTTTTTATATTTTAAACCTATTTTTTATTTTTTCTAATAAATTAGATTCTGCTTTTATTTTTTATTAATTCTTACTTTTGCCTTCATATTATTTTGTTGTTCTTTCTACTTTCTTTATTTCAACATTTCATGTTTATTAATAAAGGCATTTAATCTTATGACTTTCCCCTGAATACATCTTTTACTGTGTATTTTCACATATTAATGTCTCAATTATCTATAATTTCAGTTTTGATTTCCTCTTTGATTTAAATTTGCATGAATAATTCTGAATAATATAATTTGATGTGAGGAAAGTTTTTTCTTAATAATTCTTGTTTTATTTTATTGTGGTCAGAAAATGACAGTCTAATTCTTACCTTTCAAATATCTACTTAATAAGGAAAAAGATTTTTGTTGCATATGAAGTCCTACATGTATCTATTAATTCAAGCTTTCTAACTATATATTAGCCAAACTTTATCTCAATTTTGTTCTTTCTATTATGTAAATCCAGAGTGATATTTATTAAAATTTTCATTATAGCTGTGATTTTGTCAAATTATATATTTCCACCAATTTTTACTTTGTCCACAAATACTTGCAACTATTGCAATTAAAACTGTATGTGTAACTATACATTCGTAAATATAAAATATCCCCCTTTATCTTACTTTTTTGCCTCAAACTCTATCTTATCTGATACTAATTTTGCCACTTTTTTCTTTCTTGTTCCCTATGTTTGTCCAGCTCTTTATTTTTATTTATTTTTAAGATTTTATTTATTT